GCGACGGCCCGAACGCTGCCCACCCGCTGCAAGTTTTGCCAGGCAGCCACAACCCACCCCCGCCACTGCCCACCAGGCACGGGCAGGAGCGGGCACCCCCAAGTTCTCCCACCCTGGCCTCTTGGCACTGCACTCGCTGCCCCGGGATTCCTCCTGCATCACCGTCCAGGCCCGGCGGTGGGGCAGCTGAGGAGCTGTGCCCAGGACACCCGGCAGGCGCAGGATCGCGGGGAGGGGAGAGTCAGATGTCTGCTCGGGCCCCGCGTTCCCTAGTTGCCAGCAGCAAGATCGGAGCCCGCGCTGGGCCCTGTGGCTTGTTCACCCGGGGGCGCGGGCTCTAGTTCAGCTGAGCCAGCTTCCTAGATGTGAGGTGCGTGTGAGCAGCTCAGGAGGGCACCAGGAAGGGGCACGGGCAAGCAGGTCGCATCAGGCCCCGGATCCGCCCTCGTCCCAGGCTGAGGGCAGGGCCCAGCGCTTCAGCACCCCAATTTACCCTGGCCAGGCCGACTGCGCAACACTGAAGAAGCACCTGCCCCGCACCCCAAGGGGATCAGGAAACCCAGAGGGGCTGCAGCTCCTCAAAGTTAGCGTCGTCTGAAAATGTAAACAGAGACGGAGAGTCTGAACAGACTTTTTAAGAAACAAACGAGTTCCTCTAAAAAGCAATTTGCAGACACATGCCTCCCCCTCCCTTGGTCGGCTGAAGTGACGGACAGTCAGACCCTCCCACTGTCCTCTCAGCCCTACGTAGTAGCAACACCCCGACGGGGATCTCCTTAGACTCCTACAGATAAATCCTAAACAAAAAGGTAAAATGTATGTATTTGTGCACTTTACTAAAACCGTAACTCCTACAAATATAACCTGAACAGGTGTCAAGGATTTTCTTGAACTCATTAAAGAATGAGGAAACCAGCAGGACGTGAAAACCCAGCTCCAGGGGGATCCAGAGAGCAGACATCCATACAGGCCGCGGGAATGAGGGGATGAATCTGTTAACAGATGCCAACCTGGCTTCTTTCACAGGGGTGCTGCATGTGAAAGGGGGCGAGGGAGGGGAGACCAGCTGTACCTCCAGAAGATGTAACTCACCTGCATCTCTCTGGACCAGAGCCATCTGCGTGACTAACAGTTTTCACCACCTTCAGAGCTGGGAAATGGCTCCCAGATGTGAACTATGCCAACGACTACAGGTGCTCAGATAACAGGGAAGGTATGAGAGACGCCGCATTCCACAGGACACATGACCCGCTGCCGTCGAGGCCATCCCAACTCACAAGGACCCCATATGACAGAGGAGAACCACCCCATAGGGTTTCCAAGGCTGTAAAGCTTTACAGAAGCAGACTGCCGCATCTTGCTCCCGTGGAGCGGCTGGTGGGTTCAAACTGCCAACCTTCCAGTTCACAGCCCAGCCCTCAACCACTGCTCCACCAGGGCTCCTTACAGGACACTCATTAACCCTTTTTTTCTTCTCTCTTTCCTTTTCTTTTTCTTTTTTGTCATTTCAAAGTCTTCCACAATTTTTCTTGACATCAGAAAAAAAACTCTCAGACAGCCAAAGGAATTCTGGGAAAACTCTCTCCCTGGGATGGGCAGTGTCCCCGTAAAGGTGTGCTGGCACCCGTGGGCGCTGTCAGCTCTGGGCCCCTCACGATACAGGACTTCATCCCGTGCCCTGCACCCTGAGATCCTCGCTGGAAAAGGCAAAGGTCAGCAGTGCCTCCACCCTCGAGTCCCAGGAACCTGCTGACTACACAGAACCCCGTTCCCAGGACTTAGACATGTGGACGCCCCTGGTTCGCCTCTGACAAGGCCAGTGAAAAACGCCCATTCTCTGCCCTACTGATCCATAGGGACAAAACGCACACAAACTTTAGTTCAGCTTCTGTCCTTCCCTCGGGCCCCTGAACTTGGACCCTTCCTAGGGTAAACCATGTCTGAACACGCCCCTTCACCTGTCCATCCCGCTTCTCTCCCAGCCTTGCTCGCTGTCCTTTTCTGCTGACCCCGAGGCACTGGCAGATCTCATGCTTGAAGCCGTGACCCTATAGGACAGAGCAGAACTGCCCCATAGGGTTTCCAAGGAGCAGCTGGTGGATTCAAACTGCCAACCTTTTGGTTAGCAGCTGACCGCTTAACCACTGTGCCACCAGGGCTTCGAGTGTTCTCTTACTGCACAGCAGCCCCCCGACCCCTTGCAACAATCCTTTCGAATAAAAGCTCTCCTCACCTCAGTCCGGATCTGTCAACACCACAGAGCGTTCGAGCCTCCAGGGACAGCAAGAACTGCCAAAGTCACTGGTTATACTTGGTGCCATGCGTGGGAAGGAAAATGCCAAAGCTGCCTGGGTTTTAAGTACAAGACAAGATTTGGCTGCAGGCCCAGGCAGCCCACGGCCGCGCCTCCTGGCAGGCGGGTGCTCTGGTGGCAGAGACCCAACATCACACACAGCAGCCTCTGCACGCCCCAAGCACCTGTCCTCACACTCGAGTACCAGGTCCCACGCATGCCCGACGGCCCACTCCCAGAGAAGCAGGGCCTCTCCAGAGAGCGATTCCCAGTTACGCCTCTGCGTGAATGCCTTTGAGGAGCTGAACAATGGACCAGCTCCCCACAGATGCACCTGCATGCACCCTGCACGCACACCCCTAAAATGCTGGACACTGTAAGCGACGTCCCCCGTGGGCCAAGCTGAGAACCTGGCACAGGGCCTGGCCCCAAGCAAGTACTCAGCAAATGACGAAGGGACTGGACTCTGACTCTGCTGAAGACACAGCTGGAGCCCAACACGAAGGAGCCTGCTGCCAGACAGGACCATCTCCAGCTGCCATGTTTTACCTAAGTTCTCCTCCGCCCATTCCAAACTACCACAAATGAACACATTTCTCCAAGCTTGAACCACCTCTCTGCCCCCGATTATCTTCCCGAACACCAAACGGGCCCAGAGCAGTGTTCTGGATGACACTGTGCCCACCGCAGGGTCTTTGCAGACGCTATCGGTTCAGTTAACATGAGGTCACACTGGAGCGGGGGGCCCTAACCCCATCTTTGTAGAGTCTCATAAAAGAGAAGAGACACACTAAGCTAAGAACCTAGTCCGAATCACCAAGACACTGTGACGTGTAGGGGAAACGGTGCCTCGGAGGAAAACCGTCACACACATACGCGGGGCACGCAGCCAGGTCGTGCCACGGGGGTGTTCAAATATCGTGCGGCAACAGTTAGAAAAAAGTGCCTAAACAGGCTCCTCTGGAGGCAGTAGGGAAACGTGGGTTTCGACTCTAGGGGACCCGGCGCATTTGGTCCTCACTTCCCTGCAGACATGCAGACTGTGATCTGCGTGGAGGACAGAAACATCCCCCCCGCCTCAAGGTGGAGGAAACCAGTGGGCCCCCGCTGGTACTTTCACTTCAGCATGCTCCGGACCAATGTATGCTTTCCTGACTCCTGTGAACCGGTTAGAAGGGCTGCCTGCTTCCCTCCCTGACTGACTACACCAGATCTTTCCCACCACTTGTATACTTTGTATCTGTATGGGAGTCATGATATTAACTGGTTTTTAAATTATCTTCCAGCAGCACTGACCCAGGAGGCAAGGACGTTGGTTCTGGGAGCGCATGGAGAACGGGCACCAGGAGTAAAAAAGCAGGAGGACAGGACAAGACTCCACCGTGGCCTCGGGGCCTTGGGGAAAGAAGCGCCTCTGGGTTCTTTCCACTTCACGGAGGGTGGCGGCAACGCAGGTGCGGACACAGGCTGCAGGGGACCCGCCCAACGCGGCTCGCGCCCCAGCCCAGGCCTCCCCCGCCTCTGTCTCCGCACTAAGACCACCGGCGGCTTCAGTCCTCCCTAGAACCCGCACTGCCTGGTGGCTCTCCCAGGGAGAGGGAAGCACCTGGGAGAAGACCTGTCACTGACAGCCTTTTCAAACACACCTGTGCGTGATCTCTTCAGATGTGACATCTGATTTGCTCTGAAATAAAATGACACGCACGGGCGCCAGTCTTCCCGGGAAGAGGCAGGACGCTGGTACGAAAGCACTGTTTGTGGGGTGCAGACTCCTCTGCGGGTACTAAGGGCCTTCCAAGGGGGCGCCTCCTCCAGCAGTGGGTGACAGCACAGGGCCCCCACCCCTCGCCTGCCCCTCTAGCCTCTGCCCTGGAGGCGCAGCTTCACCCCAGGACCGCCCTGCCCTCACTGTCCAGCTGGCACACTCCCGCTCACACCCGCCAGCTCCGCCTCCCTAGGGGAGCACGGTGGAGCCCACACCACGGGGCCTGATCCTGCCGCCCGGGCCGTGTCTCGGGCTCTGCTCCAGCAGCTCAGCCCAGACTGTGGGGTCATGTACGACCTCACAGCAGCCGGCGGGCAGGGCCAGGAAAGGACGGGAGGGGCGGCTGTGCGGGAGGGGCAGAAACAGAATGTGGGAGTGTCTGTGGGGGAAGAACTTGCGGGACTGGAAGCCCGGGGAAGGCGAGGCACAACTGGGGCGCCAGAGCCCCCCAGGACTCCCCCGGAGGACCGCGGGGCAGGAGGGGCTCTGGGGGTGAGGGTGCCGGGTCAGTGCGGACGGAGCGAGTCGGGGAAGCGCGGGGAGCGAAGGACAACGGTGGCCGGGGAAGAGGGTGCGCCGGGTCACGGGGAAGGGGTCACGGGGAGTGGGACGGGGACAAGACGGCCTCTCCAGACGCACGGGGGACCCGAGGGGCGCTGGCGGGGTCGAGGCGGTCCCACTGGGGCGCACAAGTACCCCAATGAACGGGGACGGTGGAGGGCCGCCCAGGGGGTCCCGAGAGGTGCGCGGGTACGGGGAGGGACGAATGGGGAGCCCGAGGGGCGGGGCGGGGGGCGCGCGGGGACTCCGAGGGGCGGGTCCGGGGGCGCACGGGGACCCCCAAGGGGTGGATCTGGGGGGCGCAAGGGCGCCCCGAGGGGTGGGTCTGCGGGGCACACGGGGGCCCCGAGGGGGCGCGCGGGCCGGGGCGCGGCGCCGTACCTCCTTGTCCGGGACCCACTGCGGCTCCTCTAGGCCGAAGGGACTGCCGTAGGCGCGGTGCTCGGGCACCATGCGCAGGCCGCTCGGGGAGCGCACCAGCTTCTTGGCGTCTCGGCGCGCGGCCACCTCCGAGGACATGACGCCGCCACCCGAGCCGCCGCTCTGGCCCCTCACCCGCCAGGGTCGCCCGCGCCCCGCCCGCGCCCCGCCCGCGCCCGCAGACAGAGCCGGCGCCCAATCGCGGAGCGCAGCCAGGAGCGCAGACCAATCGGGGCCCGGGACCCGCCCCATCGCCGCTCTGACCAATCCGAGGGAGGCCACCTCTGCGGCCTCTCACCAATCGGAGGTGAGGGCCGGCCGGGACACTCTCCGCCCCTCTCGGAGAGGTTGGGACTTCGGGTTGGTCAGTTCACCAGTGATGTGTCAGATGCCTTGTCTCGCATTGGTGTAGGCGGCTCCGCCGCCCGGCGCTCATTGGAAGAGGCAGCCGCGGAGGGCGGGGCCGCGGAGGGCGGGACGGCGCGAAGAGGGGAGCAGAGCGCGCGGAGGTGAGCGGGACGGTGTGGAGGGTGCGGGGCCGGGAGATGAAGGGCCGGGGGCGGTGCACCGGCTAGGAGGGGAGTCCTGACGTGCAGGGTGCGGGCCGCGGTGTGGGGGAGCGGGGCCGCGGCGTGGGGGTGGGGGGCG